GTACCATTGTTAACATCCTCTTCTGAAAATTCTAGCTCCCTGGTCGTCATGCGGATCTAATAGCTTCAGCAATTTCTAAGACACTAAACCAGGACAAGTAAGAACATAAGGAGTTCTGACCTTACACACTTCATTGAATATATACATTTAATGGATTAGAAGTCCAGGATTTTTAAAAGTTGGCTACCGCCACACTACAAGGGTTAACTTTTGTTTTTCTCTGAATGTAGAATAAATAATCACCTAATCCACGGTCCCACCTGGTTGCTAGGCCGGTCCCCGCACCCTCTTCGCCCCCGGGCCCTGGTGGTCCAAGGACCCAAGAGTCATCACGTCTAATACAATGTACTAGACATGAGGACACTGATGGATATGCCACACCAGGAGGGGTGAGCGGTCACAGGATTGAGGATCGGGTCTTTCTTCTTTATTCGGTCCGCTAGAGAAAATACGGGCAGTTAACCCTTGCAGTGCAGGGGTAGCGTCATGGCAAGGGTTAACTTTAAAAAATCCTGGTGTCCCTTTTTAAAAAAAAACAACTAATGCAGCCACCACATCTAGGGAATAAAAAGCTGCCACATATGAAATGTTTTTTTTTGGGTTTAGCTACATTTTAAACAAAAGTTTTCATCTGTGTCTCAGAATGTGATGAGAAGATCTCAGTCCCCAGGTCCGCACACCCTCCTCCTGTATCATAAGGGCTCCCAATCTCTCAATTATTTAAATTTATTCTACATCATGGAAAATGCAGAAAATAAAGCCTGCAGCAGGAGCGTTCATTCACAATAGGTGAATGCAAGTGTAAATATAAAACAGACTCGGCCTGCCTTTACAAATAGATGGGGATAACAATTAGGTCCGTAATACACACACACTATAAAACAGAGATAAGAACAGGAACCGGCGTCCTCAGGCAGTGGTGCATAATGGAACGTGCTATGTCTTTAACACCAAGGTTAACCGATAAAGCAATTCCAAAAATTTACATGGAACTTTCCATTGAAAAAGGTCAGTTCAATTCAAGCATCTACCAGCTACGTGTGGGTTTATTTGTGTTCCACTCCCTCAGCAATGAATGAATGTACTGCATTAGAATGGAAACAGCAAATCTGTTCATTACAAAACACTTCTCTTGTTTCAGAAATAGCAAGGTACACAAAGATAGGGGCTCGCTTTGGGTGAGTTTGGAAGAGTTGTCGCTAGACGCATCTATCCTGCATCAAGCAACAGTCATTTACCTTAAACCGCATTTTATCGCACCATGTACTATTACATGCGGCCTGACGCTGACTGATGCCGGCGCTGTCACCCTCTCATTTTCTTCAATGGATAGAGGGGCTGCATCTGAATGGGGACACCTGGCATTCCTGCCACAGAAACCCGTAGGTCCTTGACGCAGGGATGCCAGATCACCCCGTGTGAACGGAACCTAACAGATGCCCAGTATGGACTCTGGATATACACAGTGCATGCGCCACACAAAAAAATTATTGATAGGAGAAAAGGGAAGGAATTTTTTCTTTGGCAGAAGAGGAGTACAATTTATGACGGCACTGGAATGATCCCTAATAACTGATATGCGCTTATCTTCATGATGCTTCAATAATATTTTTTTCCGGATAAAATGAGCAGTTCGCTGATGAAGTTGTACTTGCCGTCTATTAATATACAACCTGCTCTCTGTTTCCCAGACATTCTCTTATGTACAGCAAGGCAGTAAAAAAACCTTTTGAAGTTCTTTGCTGTCAGTCTCTTCCCATCTTAATTAGCTGAATAAAGAGATGCAGTGATGAGAGCAGCTGTGTCCCTGAGCTGTGTACACTCTGTTAGACAGTCATGATATCTATGTGTGCATAACAACCAGGGCAGTACACAACATAGGCTGTGGCTTAGAGCCACAGGGGCTCCCAGGGACAGCACACAGTCATCCATATATCACGCTGCTGATTATCAATAACACATTCCATGTATAGCACAGTAAAGCTTTCTAAAAACAAAAAGTATTATCTTCTTATTCTATCACATCCCAAAAAGGACTATTCCTTATTTCAGGACGGCGGATGGAAATGATAAATCATCCTCTTCTTTTTGGGAGATGTGATGGAATGAGACATGTGAATACCTCCTGTTGTAAGAAGGCTCTATCATATTTTGCTATCACATAGGGGGTTTTTATTAGCCTCGTATGTGATAGCAATAAAGTTTAGTAAAAAAAAAATGTAAGTTCCCCCCCCCAAAAAAAAATGTAAAGTAACACATAAAGAATAAAAAAAAAAAATTTTTTTTTTTTAAGTCCCCACCCATACATACACGCATGCAAACATGCATCGGGGGCGCATACGTGCAAAAACGACGATTGCGCCCATTACGCCGCACATGTTACATATCGCCGTGAACGTCGCAGTGAGAGCAATAAGTCTAGGGCCATAAATCACTGATAACACTAAACTGATGAGTGGTAAAAGCTTTTAAAGTGTCGCCTATGGCCAATTTTGGGTATGGTAGTTTTCTGCCATTTCGCGGATGCGCGCAATTTTAAAGGTTGACATGTTTGGTGTCTATTTATCCGAAGTGACCCTGACTTTTATATTTTACCAAAAAACTGGGTAATAATAAATGTTTCCTAACATAATGTAAAAAAAACTTTTTTTTATCAAAATGTTCTTTAATTTTTCCTAATTATAGTAAAAAATAAAAACCCCAGTGGTGATTAAATACCACCAAAATAAAGCTCTATCTGTCCCCAAAAAATGGTATAAAATTCATTTCAGTACAGCGTTGCATGACGGAATAAACGTCAGTCAAAGTACTGCAGCGCTGAATACTGAAAAATGGCCTGGCCATGAAGGGGGTCTAAACACCTGGTCTTGAAGTGGTTAAAGGAGAACTATGGGGTCAGGGCTTTTCTCCATAGTTCTCCTTAGGGTAACGGGAGGACACAAACTAGCGTCCTCCCGTTACCCTAAGCTCAGTATACCACGAGTTACAGCTCGCTGTACACTGAGAAGCCGGAGCGGATCCCGACATCGTTGTCGAGATCCGCCCAGCTGCGTGAGTGACAGCTGGCTCTGCCTATCTAGAGGCAGAGCCAGCTGTACCCGCTGGCGGATCGGAGCGGGGAGGGGGGAATCCAGCCCCTCCCCTGTCACGGCAGAGAGCCGTGACAGGATCGAGAGGTGAACGAACGCCGGTATATGTTCGCTCACCTCCCGATCTACTGAGCCGACCTGTGACAGTCTCATTGTCACAGGTCGGCTAGAACTATGAGGTGAGTGAAAACTCTCCCCTCATAGTTCTCCTTTAAGGCCTTAATTCCCTCCTACCAAGTAGGTGCAATTTCGAATGCCTGCATCAGAAACTTGTAATTTCATGCAGCAGGAATTCCAAATCTTCCATTTACAAGCGATAGCTGTTACCCGTTCAAGTTAATCATCGGGTGACAATGTCTGCATTTGAAAGTGGCAGAACGCTGAAACAGTGCATGTAATCATATGTGATACGATTACATGCGGTGAGGAATCAATCACTATTTATGGACACACATTGGATGCAGCATGGTGTGAATGTAGCCTTAATCCCTTCTCAACATAACCCACATGGCTATACTGTCACATTCTATGTATAATACTTCTCTAGACTTTGGCCATACCTGTTAGTATTAGCTGGCCAAGTTCTCATTGTTCTTGCCTCTGTCCACTTTGGTGTTTTAACTTGTAAAATAGTGTACTGTGTGTTTATACACTATATGGCCAGAAGAGTTTGTTGGACATTCCAATACCAAACCACGAGTTGGACCCTTTCTCAGGTATAGCAGCCTCCACCACTCTAGGAAGGCTTTTAATAAGATTTTGCAGTGTATCTGTGGGAATTTGTGCCTATGCAGCCAAAATAAAAATTTTAAGGTCAGTAGTAGTGATGAGTTTGGGCTTGGTGTGAACCCTGAGCCTGTGTTTGCCCAAGACTGTTCAAAACTGTGAACTGCATTCCCTGCTTCTTTGCAACTAGTAGCAGCAGGGCAGGGAGTCCTGCATCTTTGGATGCTTGGGATTGGGGGGGGGTCATGGTTTTGTGGGCTAAGTGGGCAGGTAGTACAAATACAGCCTTGTTCATGACTGATCCACTCAGCTTACCCTCAGGCAAACAGTTAAAAATAGTTGAAACTTGTATATCCTGAATCATTTATCTGCCATACAATCTGTAATTCTGTTTAGAGAGTCTTGTGAACCAGGCACCCCTGCCAGACAATACAGCCAGCACTAGTTTCCAGCGCAGTTAAGCAGTACAGCTTGGAAATCTGGATGCAGTGGAATATAGAGAACACAGATTAAGGTAAACTACATTATCTTTTTGATTTGACCACTTTGCAGTGTTAGCATTAGTAGCTTACTGATTGCTGTCATTTACCCAAAATTGCTGATGAAATCTTATTGGTCGTATGGATTAACACCCTTTACAAATCTCTGTTGCCAAGTGTTAGCAAAGTATGAGCTGGGTGCAAGACACTGGGGGAGAACAATGTTTGTGGCACGGAAGATATTTGAGGATAAGCAGTTGTTTACTCTAACCAGTGTGTCCTAGGCTGGGACAGTATTTTAAGGTATCCATCCTCCCAGTTCAGCTTTAGAACCTTGCCCATGTGCAAGCGCCTCCCTTGGATATAATTGGCCATGCCATGAGCGTATGCTGAACACCACCAAGAGCCCTGGAGACCTAAAAAGAATGTTGAGCCCCTGCTCAAGTCCAAACTACTGCTTATCCTCAGCCAAGTCAATTTTATTTACAAAGCTACTTTTTCAGACGGATGGGGCAGAATCTGCATTTAAAACCAGATGCAGAATCTGCATATAAAAGCAGACATCAAGGATGTCTGCAAAAAGTCTACCCTACTTATACAGGGGTACAGGTATTCCTAGAATGAGATCCTAATAGGTTGGACTTGATGGACTAATGTCTTTATTCAACCTCAAATACTATGTAACTACTTCCTAGGCAAGTGTTACCTTTTCTGAAGGTTATCCAGGTCTTCACTGAGTATGAAAGGGTTCTTGGTCAACACATGCCCCAGCTGACTGTCTTCTACACCTACATCTTTCAGGAAAAAAAGGATTTTGCTGATATCTGTTTCAAAGTCTAACTTCAGAAGAAACGTTCCAACATTGGGCCGCTTTTCCAGTTTGGATAAATCCACACCTGTTGTAAATAAAAAGAGTTTCCCTGTTAGCGCCAAACACACTAATTATTGCATGAAAACACGTGTTATGCAACTCCTCTAAGAACATGTGTATAGAACAATGCATTGGATTAGACTTATTTTGGGATTCAGAGAACATAGCTGGAGCTAAACCCACCACCCCCCAAAAAAAGCTAGCAAGATAGATAGATAGATAGTAGAGATGCACTGATACCAGTATCGGTATCGGTGCCGAGTACTCTTTTTTTGGGCGAGTACTCATACAAATGCATTGATGCCTAGCCTGATACTTCCTGTATCAGGAAGCCGGGCGGCGTGTCATGGAGCCGGCTTCCCGGTGTGTAATGACTCGCCACCTGGCTTCCTGATTAGCCGGGAAGCCGTCCCCATGCTTCTTGTCACTATGTGACAAGAAAGTATGGAGCCGGTTTTCTGATTGGACGGGAAGCCGGCTTCATGCCCCCTCGTCACCTCATGACGAGAGAGCATGTAGCCGGCTTCCCGGCTAATCAGGAAGCCGGGCACCGCGTCATTACACGGCGCTCGGCTTCCTGATTGGCCAGAAAGCCGGCTCCATACTTTCTTGCCTGGCTTCCTTAATGGGACTTCCGGTATCTGTATTCGGTATCGGAAAAAAAATATCGGCACTCGTACTCAATATCGAAATACCAGTCCCTGTGCATCCCTAATAGATAGATAATCTTGTTTTCCCTATCTTGCTAGTTTGAGGTTTGTGGTGAGCATTTAGTAGCGGGAAGCATTTATTGCGTGTAGAACGCTGGTTGTACATCGATGAAATCCATAATAGCAGCCGTCTAGCTCTGCTTTGTCCTTTTCTAGGTTACATTACAATTGCACTTTACAGTGCCTATTATCCTGGTGGGAATATCAGACTGTGACATCCTAGCAGCTTATGATCTTCAATTCTACTACCCATTTCACTGCACACACCATAGAATCTGTTACTCTGACCTAAATAGAGGCACACAATTCACTCTGCTTTCCCATTCAACAAATGGTATAACATAGAGAATTCAAATCAGTTACAGATTAAAGTTTAGGAATTTGGAGCCTTTGGCATCAGGAAGACAAGATAGTTTTAGGATCTGGGGGTGGCTAAAGTGTTTGGTTACAGCTGGGCTCATTATTCATTTATTATTATTATTACATAGTATTTATATAGCGCCAACAGTTTGCGCAGCGCTTTACAATATAAGGAAGACATAACAGTTACAATACAATTCAAGACAAGATGGTAAGGAGGGCCCTGCCCCTGAGGGCTTACAATCTAAAAGAGGAGGGGTAAATGATACATGAGGTAGCTGTGGGAATGAATTATGTGAGAATGTGAAGGTTCAGTGGTTAGGTTGAGGTGCGATAGGCTTCCCTGAAGAGATGAGTCTTTAGGTAACGCCCAAAGGCAGTCAAGGTGGGAGATAGACGGACAGGTTGGGGTAAAGAGTTCCAGAGGATGGGAGAGACTCTAGAGAAGTCCTGGAGGCGAGTATGGGAGGAGTGGACAAGGGAGCTGGAAAGCAGGATGTCAATGGATGAGCGGAGGGGACGGTTAGGGTGATACTTTGAGACAAGGTATGAAATATATAAATATATTCATTTATACATCCTTAAATATAACTTTTAAACGCAAGCAAAGCAAGTACCTTAATTTGGATTGGTATTAGCCACTTGCAGTTCCTGTATAGCAGGAGGGTAAGGGAGAAGCAGCACACAGAGACAATCAGGTGTCTTGCAGTGCAAGGAGCATGCTCATAGCAGCAGAGAGCAGAGCTAGAGAGATAAGCCCATTACTGTGCAGTTGCACCTTTCACTGTCCAGTCACAGAGTGCACTCCAGGCAGGACTATGTTACATGGTGGAGTATATCTTGGGAATGGATGGACAGAAATACAAATCCTTTTGACAAGTAAAACAGCTTCTATATTTGTATTTCATCTGTGTGGTTAGCGGTAAGTCTGGAGTTTTGCTTTAAATTTTACAGTTTAGCTTACATGTTCATTTAAAGTGTTCAGTTAAAGGTTACCTAAGTTAAGTTAAAGAGGCCCTGTCACGGAATGAAAAAATAAAATAAAAAGGTAGAAGCACAGAACAATCTGTATTTTAAAAGCTCATTTGTAACATTTTTTTTCCATAAATTATTTTTTATCTGCTTGCAATGTGCCTTTGAATCAACTAGAATATCTGACCACTTTAGGAGAGTCAATTCCTTAGCACAACCCCCTCCTTTCCTGCACATCTTAGCCCTTTCCTCTTGTGGGAATTCCTAATAACGGTCTATACTGGCCCAGCTGTTCTGCCTTTCCCCTCTCTACACAAAATGTTCTGTTGCTGCTGGGGATGTAGAGAAGGGGAATACAACAGAGTGTCACTTGATTGACAGCTCTGAGTCTGCTGACATCATATTCAAGATGGCAGAGACAGGCAGAAGTTTCAGGTCTTTTGGATGTCTACACGAGGGAGGCTTTTACAGGTGAATAACATGCATCAAATACATGCAATGTACTTATAAAATTATGGGAAGTTTTTTGTTAAAATGAATGGCCAGCAAACAGGGTTTTTTAAAAGCTAGCCATACACTATTAGATTTCTGTAAAACAATGTGGATGGAGGAACTGTATGTTCACATACATTTGTGGAGGATATTTGCCAAGAAGACCACTCACCAAGCATTACCAGTTTCTGTAGCGTTTCAGAATGATCCACATAATCTCGAAGTGTAGAGGAAGAAGGGGGGATTGGAGCAATTTGGGGACCTTCATCTTCTGGGATTATATCCAGTGAAGAACATAGTGCATCATCATCCAGCTCTTAAAAATAACAATATAAAACAGTAAACACCACAGGCATTCTAAAGAACAATTCCCAGCGTTAAACAAACAAAAAAAAAAAACAGCTGAACTTCGGGAAATATAAAAAAGACAATTATTACAGTGATGCATTTCTAAGGCAAGGCATGCAAGTTACTCTGTCTTGCTATCAGCCTCCTGTAGTTCCCTATATGCAGCATTGTGATTTGCAAAGGGAAGGTGACACTTCAATCAGACTATGCTGCATGCACATGTGTTTGCAGTAAACACGCTGACAGGAGGAAAGAGGGGTACAGGGGTATGACATCCTCAATGAGCTGCTGCTTCATTGGCCAATCAGCAGACTAGGGATGGGAATGGTTGTACAGAACAACAAACCCATGGAAATTTAAAACTGTCTACACAAACCTATTTCAGCTGTATACAGGGGCTTTCCTAGGCATTCAGCTTTAAAGTTAGTCTGTCAGATATATCAATGTGTTCAAAATGAATACCATTTCCAAAGCACCCGGTGACTTTAATAATCCCGCAATCAGTTTCTGAACATCTGTGCAATTTTTTAACAGTCATTCCTGGCCAATGAGTCTATTGGCGTTGCCTTGAAAAAGCATTATAAAAAAAGAGCAGCAATGGCAGCCTACATATTTTTACAGCATTTTGTTTTTCAATTGTAAGTATATGAATATTAAATATGAATAGTTCGATTTACAATGAGTAGGTAGAGCTCTTGGGTTCCTGGCTTCTGTATGTAGATAGTTTGCATCCAGGACCACTGATCTGTCTCACCCCTAACTGCATGGAAATGCTCCATGTGTGACAACATGCCAGCAGAGACGGAGCCTCTCCTCCTGTCATTGATTTGTACAGGCTGAGCGACCTCAGCTGATTGCAAACACCCATGGAAGCCGCCAGAGAAAATATTGCCTCACAATCAAATTCCCTCCAAATGTTTCCTCACAACAAAATTCCCCAAGGATTTCCCTTAGAACCAAATTCCCTCAAGGAACTCCATTAGAACCAAATTCCCTCAAGGAACTCCATTAGAACCAAATTCCCTCATTAACTCCCTTGGAGCCAAATTCCCTCAAGGAACTCCCTTGGAACCAAATTCCCTCAAGGAACTCCCTTGGAACCAAATTCCCTCAAGGAACTCCCTTGGAACCAAATTCCCTCAAGGAACTCCCTTGGAACCAAATTCCCTCAAGGAACTCCCTTGGAACCAAATTCCCTCAAGGAACTCCCTTAGAACCAAATTCCCTAAAGGAACTCCCTTAGAACCAAATTCCCTAAAGGATCTCCCTTAGAACCAAATTCCCTAAAGGATCTCCCTTAGAACCAAATGCCCTCAAAATATTCCCTTAGAACCAAATGCCCTCAAAATATTCCCTCACAACCAAATTCCCTCAAGGATTTCCCTTAGCACCAAATTCTCCAAGGATCTCCCTTAGAACCAAATTACCTCCCAATCAAATCCCCCCAAGGTATTCCCTTAGAACCAAATTCCCTCAAGGAACTCCCTTAGAACCAAATGCCCTCAAAATATTCCCTCACAACCAAATTCCCTCAAGGATTTCCCTTAGCACCAAATTCTCCAAGGATCTCCCTTAGAACCAAATTACCTCCCAATCAAATTCCCCCAAGGTATTCCCTTAGAACCAAAATTCGAAGGGAAATGATTCTAGTTGAGGTATTTCTATGAGAGGGCTAATCTTTCTCTATACACCATTTTTAGTCATATATAACAGAGGATGCCTGTGAAGACGATGCAGCTTTCAGAGCCAGATTACAGCTTGTATACCTTCTAGGAATGTGTCCACATCCTCTCTGGGTATAACTGCCACCTCCTGTTGTTTCTGGCTGATTGAAGGTTGATTGTTCTCTGGGTGAAGGACATTTACACCGCCTTCTGACATGTAGCGGGCGCAGCCTGCTCTCGACAGCCAACATTTCCTCGTCGGGTTTTGCATGGTGAAGACATGTCTATAAAAGTGTTGTGCTGAAATGGCTTCATTTCTCCTGAGGTGACAACAGGTTAATGCTGGCGACTCACGCAGTCCCTTTGAGAAACCCCCATAATGGCTGAGCGCTAAAAGCAGACATCTAGCATTTCTCTGGCATCCGGGCAGAGCCATCTCTCGGTGTCACGACCTTGGGAAATAAAGACAATCATGCTGTTATTCCTTAACGTTATATCCCATTCTGCACCAGCAGAACACCAAAGCATGACATCATCACCCATGAAGGAAAACAATTTAGAAGGGAACTTGAGTGGTTTTTTAATATTTTCTTTATTATCGTCAAGACTAAAAAAAAAATGTTTTTAGTTCAATAGATATAAAATATTGCATACAGATGTACCGTGTTCTGTTTTTGGCCAGCTGGAGGCATGTTAGTCTCCTTGTTACTTGTATTCTCCTCATTCGTGCTAAAAGATGCATGTTGTTTAAAGAACTTCAATCAACGATCACAAAGTGACTCCCCCTTATTAGAATAATTAGGCTGAAGCTTCACTTAGATAAAGGGAACCTCAAAGCAGGTAGCGTCTACTGTGTTGTCTCTTTGGGTCACACACAGCACTATGAAATTCTTATTAACCATTATTATTAACCATTTGCTGTCCGGAGCAATTTCTTACTATTTGTGCACACATGATAAAATAAAACATTTTGGCTAGAAAACAGATTCAGTCCCCCAAACAATGATATATTTTCTGAAGGCAGAGGCCCCGTAGAATAAAAAAAATGCTAGTTGCAATTTTTTATGTCACACGGTATTTGCGCAAATGTTTATCAAACCAATATTATTAGGATAAAATAAACTAAATTAAAATTTAGTGCACAAAAACATAATAGAATACCCAATTGTTTTTATAAAATATGAAAGATGGGGTCACGCCAGGTAATTAGATACCAAACATGTCAAGCCTTAAAATTGTGTTCGCCCATGAAGCTGCAAAAAACTTCAATACCCACAATTTCCCATAGGGAACACTTTAAACGCTTTTAACGCTCATCAGTTTAGTGCTAACAGTGATTGACAGCACTAAAATTATTGCTCTCACTCGGACGTTCACAGCGATATGTAACATGTGTAGCGTAATTGTCGTTTTCGCACGTAGGCGCCCTGACGCGTGTTTATGTGTGTGCACGTGGGGGGCGGGGGACTTAAAAAAATTTTTTTTGCATTTTTTGTAAAAAAATTCTGTTACATTGCAGATAGAGTGTGACAGGTCTTCTTTATGGAGACATCAGGGGTCTTTCAGACCCCTAATGTCACCTAGTGACCCCAAAGATGTTGACAAAGCAGAGATCTGCTTCCCCAGCTTCATCTCCTGGCTCTAAGAGCCGGAGAATGTAAATAGTGACACCGGAAGTGATGTAATACACATCACTTCCGGGTCCAGGATCGGAGGAGAGATCAGCAGCTGGAAATCGCTGAATTTTTCTCCAATCATTGCGGGTCCCGGGCGTCGCACGGGGACAGCGGTGCCTGGGAAAGCCGACGGCGGCCCCCGGCGGGAAGGGGATAGCGGCGTCCGATACAAACCATCGGGCGGCTGTATAGACGCCGGATCGCTTGTACATTAACAGCCATCGCTGGCTGTTAAAAACGATCTCAAGAACACGGCTGCTGCAGAAGCCATGTTCTTGTTTTAACCACTTCTGCTAGCCGCCATCTATAGACGTATTGTGGCCCGGAAGTGGTTAAAGATACCCCATCAACAGACCATTCATTTCAACAACAATCTTCCCATAAGACTATATGGGCATTTATCATATTTTATGCATGTTATTTAGCTGTAAAAGCATCCCATGTGTAAGCATCCAAATACCCTGAGACTGCTGCTGGGTGCCACCATCTTGAAGTCCTCAAAGTTGTCACTGAAGTAACACTCTTTAGTATTACACTTCGTTTCTCACCGGCAGCTACATAAATGAGTAATGAGACACTCCCAGAAGAGTATAGGGCTAAAACATTGCAGGGTGGAGAGGGCTGTGTTAAGGTGCCCATACACCTTACGATTAGCGCAAGATTATTTTCGGACGATGATCAAACCATCGTTCGATTTTCGTACAACTGCCCCATCATGCACAGACCATTGTGGAGTTTCAATTAGCGTTCGTTAGCAATATCACCTTGACGAATTTCGTCTATTGACAGAACGGATTTTCATTTGCGTATGAGCAGTGTTCTTGTTGCAATTTTTTCCGTATGGAAACGCCACTAATGCATCGAATTTCGTACAATTTGATTAAAGTTTTCTAGCCTGCTAGAAAGACAAAAGTTGAACGGTTGTACAGTAATTGAGGTTGTGCACTTCCCATCAACTGTGCGATTATTGTACGAAAACGCGATCGCAGACAAAAATCGTGCGATAATCTTAAGGTGTATGGGCACTAGTAAAAACAAAGCAAAAGGAGCGCCTCCATAGTGTAAAACTGATTTATTGCAGACAAAAAAGACAACTGAAAAGGTACTTACAAACCGGCCAGTATAAACAAGCATAAAAAGGTATAGTCTCAGGAGAACATCAAGATGGATGAACGAAAATACGGTAAAGTAATGGAAGTACTAGTGCTATCCCTGCGGGTCCGCCCGCTCAAACCAGCTGGCACAGATAAACTAACGGCCGGGAAACACACCCTTTCACTGAACCCATAGGAAGCACACCTACAAAGAGAGTGACAACATACCAGGGGTAGATCGTACAATTTGATAGGCTAAGGGGTTCCATGTGACCAAATCCAAGGTTGATTGTGATTGGTCACTTTTCAATTCTTAAGAGCCAGGTGGAGATGGGGATCCTTCAGGTTCTTACGAAAGAAACGCGTCAACTGAAGGAAGGTCAGTGTGCAGTTGGCTTCGGCTCAGCACTAGTACTTCCATTACTTTACCGTATTTTCGTTCATCCATCTTGATGTTCTCCTGAGACTATACCTTTTTATGCTTGTTTATACTGGCCGGTTTGTAAGTACCTTTTCAGTTGTCTTTTTTGTCTGCAATAAATCAGTTTTACATTATGGAGGCGCTCCTTTTGCTTTGTTTTTTACTAGACATCCGGTTTCTCTTGTCTGTGAGGAGCTGTGATTTAGGTGACATTATCAGGAGCAGCTACTGTTTTTGGCGCCGGTGATTCATTTATTGTTGTACTACCTTTAGGGAACTGACTAATCCAATTTGCTAGCCAGTTCAGAGGCACATTGCAAGTTAATTAATTGTTTATGAAAAGGAAAAACACTGCAGGTATTCAAAATACTTGATTTTTCTGTACTTCTGCATGCAATTTTGGTTGCAAAGTTGGTGACAGCTCTTTGAATTATGATCTGCCCAAAACATCATCTTTGTACCTGCTAAATGTACAGTTTTCCACTTACAATCAAATGTATATTCAGCAATTAAAGAGTGCCACCCTTTTTGGAATTCTATTGGATGTTGGAGAGGGATCCACTGGTGGTAGACACCTGTGACTTTATATACCTGGGGAACATATCCTATGGACAGAAAAATGCTGCAGCTGGGGCTCCTAGGCACCTCAAATACAGACTTATTTTAGCATGTATGCCAATACACCTGTATTTGCGCCCATGTGCATGAGCTCTAAGATTTAAAATTAAAATAATAATATAATTTCAACATTTCTTAGAGGATTACTAGTACAGATGTCAACTGTCACTTATCTACCACCCCTATAAATATAATTACTACTACCAATAATTTCCTGACCCTTCTGAATATTTAGCAGTAAATTTTGCTGAAGTGAAACTCTTTCATAGTTTGTAATCTTGTTGGATACAAAGCGCTTTGCTTAGACAATAACTGCACATCACAAATTATTGTCTTATTGCAAGCACATTTTTTGTATAAAATGTTTTTACAAAACGTTCTGCCTAAAAGAGTTCATACACATGACATGACGATCTGATCAGAGCCAGATTAAGGCCAAATAAAGCCCTGGGCAAAGTAGCAGCTTTGCCCCCCTCCTGCTTGGATCAACAATTCCAACACCTATTGGAACATTTGTTGCATTTAATAAACCGCATTTGATTCTTCATGTCCTTTGTAAACCTGCAATTTCCGCTGTTCCCTAATCTGAGCAGGAGCTTTCACCAAAACTAAAGATCAAAGGGTCTCCTGGTGTGTAAGCTGAGGAGGGGTTGGTAGAGGCCCATATACATAAAATACAATGAAGGGGACACTGTCACCTTGCCGAGCAGGACAAAATGACATCATCTCTGCAAGGGACTGGGAGAGTGATGTCACCGCTTCCCAGGTCACCAACACCACCAATTTCAGTGCCAGATATGGAGGAGGGAGGAAGCACTAAGAATCACTGATAAGATTATCAACAAGTTGGGAGGCTTGCAGAGACCCTGTCATGTTTTCCCTGCATGCGCAAGGTCGCAGAGTCTCTAACTTTAATGGGTAGGAAAATAAAAACAACAACAACAAAAACGCTTGCCTGTTAAAGAGCCAAATTTGTTACTGGGAAAGAACTTTAACATTTTCAGTTCTGGATGGACTAACTAATGGTTAGAAGCTCTTTGGGGTTTTTACTGATGCTGTTTGCCCATAGGGAAGATTTTCTCTCACTTCCTGTCTAAATGATGGGGAGCCAAAATACAGGAAATGATAGGAAATGCAAAGGAGACAGAGAAAAATCACTTATTTTAAAGTGTTAGAATGTGGTGAGCCCTATCCTCCTCATTTCTTGTTCTGGTGTCCCAGGGATAAAAAAACTGAAAGAAATCTCCCCAATAAGGTCACAGACAGCATTAAAAACCTGACAGAGGTTATTTCTTTTCTCTGTTGACTGGAGCTGGGCGATACATTTAGACTTTCACACGGCCGGTCTGATCGCGTCTGCCTGTCAGTTTTTTAATCGAACCCAATGCTAGTCTATGGGCAGCCGTGTGTAAATGGACAGGCATCCGTTTGCACCCGGTTACCTGCGGCTCCGTCCAGAACAGTGTTCCTTTTCGTGCCAGATCGGGGGTAATCTGATGTCAATGGACACATGTCTATTTAGATCCGATTCCCCATAGACAGACATGTCCACATGGTAATTGCAGTTTTTGTTCCTCCATCGCAAGATTAAGGAAATAACTCTATGGACATGGGTGTCACAGCAATGACATCTACTCCATACT